ATTTTTATTTTTATTAGTTTTATCTATTATAGTTTTCTACTATCCTAATTTATTAGGTCACAGTGATAACTATATTCCAGCTAATCCAATGCAAACTCCAGCTTCGATTGTTCCAGAATGGTATAGAAAAAGATGCCATGCTTAAGAGTAATCTTATGAATAATTAACTTTACTATATGTTGGAAATTCCTAAAGACTTGAATACTTTATTAATAAAGTAACAATTTCGAGTATGTAACAATGGATAATCAGCAGGTAACCAAATGATCTTTACAAGTATATGAACCTCAGAGACTACACGTAAAGCTCCTTAAATAAGTTTATTATAATTTAAATTGTTTAATAATGATAACTCATTCAAGGATGGAGATATATTCCAACCATTATTAAAGCTAATGGATTATTTATATTTGGATCTGATAACTTTTATACGTTTAGTATGTACTCGTAGCATACCCCCGCGAAAGTATTCGACTGTCTGCTGGCTTGCAAGTCCTTCGGCGCCTTCGGGGGGCTTGCCAACACAAAAAAACAAAAGACTCAGTAAAGTCGATAGATCCAAATTTATTATTGGTAGTACTTTAAATGATATTATTGTAGGCGACTAGGTGAAGGCTAAATACAAAAATATCTATAAATGGTCGAGATTTATTTATGCACAAAGTAGTTTAAGAATACATCATCTTAATTCGCTGCTCAGCATATATTAAAATTATTTAAACCTTCTCTGTCTGCTTGCTTGCTGCTAGCCAGCCAGCCAAAAAGACTTTAAACTTAAAGAAAAAACCTTTACAGATAAAATAATAAATAGAATTTATAGTTCAGTTAGTTTTGCCACATTATCATTATCTTATTTTAATTATTACAGAAACCTGTTTTATATTTTGGACTAATTAAAAGTGGTTTCTTCAAATATAGCAACTAAGTACCATAGGTTTAGCTTATTGGATCTTGGGCGAGGTTTATGGTTTAGGATAGATGGATATAAAGGTTTACATTTAAACATTATGGTTTTTACCTAGTAAGATGTTTTAAATTTCGCACTAAACATGTTTGGCGCTTTAAAATGTTCTATAGGCGCTGGCTGTTAGCGATATAAACATCAAAAGGAGAAATAATTTATATTTGCATGCTTCGGCTCCTTCGGCTCTCCAGCCAGCGGAAGAAACAATAAATCTCAGTTTATTTATAAAGATATGCTTTATAAAATCAACTCCAATAAATTAATATAAAACGATCTTTTACCTTTCTATGCAATATTAAGATCTATCCCTAACAAACTGAAATTTCTAGCGGTTTGTCTAAATTCTACTGTATGCTTGAAAGTCTTATAGTTCAAGTACTGTGTATCACAGTAAAAATCTTAGAACTTGTTTAAGATAACCAGCAAGTTTTTCACTTCATTTATTTTCTTCCCGTCACCGTTGCCCTGCTAGCCATAAGGACAGTCTGCTCTCGTTCGTGGTTAGCCAAACGCTTAACGCCTTAAGCCAGGACGGACCGGAGAAAAATAAAAATTTATAAAGCTCTGAGCTTATAAAACTTCATCGACTATACGTAGAAATATGCGAAATAAGACGCAAGATAAGATATAGTCAATAAAAGCTGGATAATTATATTGAGATAGTATTTCTTATATTAATCTATATCCAAATTTCTTTTTTAATTCAAATGATAAAGATACTTTGTTTATTTCTTCTAACAGCACGTGAGCAATTTGAACAATATAAAGATAATTTTAAATTACCTTCCAATTTTTATATCGCTGCGCTGGAGGAGGTTCGTCTAGTAGCAAATGGGGGTTTTCAGGCTGAAGGACTTGTTTCTTGTCGAATTAGAGCTAAGTATTTTTCACCAGTATTTGCTGTTAACCACGTAGCAGATAGTCTATAATTTTTTTAACTCTTTGACTTGTTCTAGGGCGAACAGGTATATTGAGTTTAATTAGTAATAAACATGGAAAATTAGTAATACGTTTATCCTTCGAAAGTAGGGATATCTTACTTAATTCCTATTCTAAATATTTTAATAGTATTTATGGTTAGGCTCGTAACTGCACGAGAGAAAAATATATTTACCCGAAGGCGAAACTATCTGATATACGATGTCTAACCTCTAATAACTTAAAATCAGATCCTTCTGCCCTTGTTCTTGCTATACATATTGTTTACTTTAGATGAATCAAGTCGAAAATTATCTCTATCGAATCAATTAAATTTATTAGGTCTTAATTCTACTGATGTAGCGGAAACGCCGCCTATTTACACTGACAACTTTACTACCCCATCAATAATTTTTATTATAGGGTTTATTCTCGGTGATAGAACTTTACCCTTAAGACTTAGAAATTCGGATAAAGGTTATATTTGGTTAATATCTACTTTATTATTATCCATGCTTAATAATAAATATAACGCTCCGCAATGTTAGAGTTTTAAAACTCTAGATATTAAAACTTACACTATAAAGCAAATAACTCTGAAATTATAGATATTTTAACTTAAAACCTCCGTCCTCCTGTAATCGGCATCCGGCATCGGCCTCTCCTCGTCCTCTCATCCTCTGCTTGCCTCAGCAAGCAAGCGATTCAAAGATAGGCGTTAGCACAGAGATAGGCTAAAGATGGTAGATGGGGGGGGGAGGTATAGCAACCCTGCGCAGGGTAGCGCAGGAGGGGAAAGTAATAACAAATAAATGTCAATTCTCTGCTATCGCGCCTGCCAACTGTAAAAAGTATTAGTTCGATATTTGCTACTTCCTGTGATAAGGCCTTATTCTCATTACCTGTTTTGAAAATGACCAATATGCGTCAGGTGTTGCACGACTTGTCAATGCTAAAGCACATTACACTCTTTATGGTTTTATAGCTAAAATTGAGTTATAGTTACCCTAACAAACGGCTTCAGTATAAACAATTTAGGCTTGAGAATATTAAATCTTGCTGCTTGGCTTGTCTCCGAAGGCAGCAGCCAGCCGAAGGGAAGGGAAGGATCCGAAGGCCGGCGAAGCATGCAAGCGAGAGCAAGTAAAACTCAATCAGGTTAGGCGCTCGCTGGCGCCAGCGCAGCAGAGAGCGAGAGAAAATAAAGCAGTTTATGGTCGAGGTTTAATAAAAGGAAGTATTGTTGCTTGGAAATGTGTATTCTCTCGTAATATAAAATCTCGTTACTTTGGTTTTACAAATAATACAGGCGCTCGCTGGCGCCAGCGCAGCAGAGAGCGATATCAGGACAAGCACTTAAACGAGCTATTCAATATCGAGATATTTTTATAAAATCTTAGGTAGATTCACTTAAATAGCGTTAATTTTATTTTTTTTATGGCTAGGAGTTATAGCAATGTTTGGATCTTTATTAATTTTATTAATACTTCCTTATGCTGATTTATCTAGAGTAAGAGGAAATCAATTTAGACCATTTATGAAATTATTTTTCTGGTTCTTTGTTGTAAATTTTATAATTTTAATGTGGATTGGTTCTCAACACCCTAACACACCTTATGTTGAAATTGGACAAGTTGCTACTGCATTTTATTTTGTTTGGTTTATCTTTATTGTGCCTTTCTTCGGATTATCTGAAAATTCTATAATGGATATTGCTACAGAATAATATATTAAATATAATATTATAAAAAAAATATATATATTATAAAAACAAGAAATTAATAAAATCCTTTTAATCATTACAAATTGTCAAATTGTGGCTAATATATAAAAATTTCGAAATAAAAATACTTATAAAAATAAAGAATTATAATTAATTTTGTAGTATTATTATAGCTTAAAATTGCCGTAACATTTACTTATAATATAATAATATAATTTAATGATATAGCATACTTATTTAATAATTTATATATCATTAAATAATAATATTTAATATTATTATTAAGTATATATTATTATTTTATGTTATTTTAAGTTAAAAATAAATTTTTAAACTTATAGTTTCTATTTTTTAACAAATTAATACTTTTTATATCGTTTTCTTATTATTTTTAATTTACATTTTTATTTGTATTTTTTTTTATCTATTATTATATAAAACAATTTATATGTACGAATGAGTTTATTATTTATCTATGACGTGTGAGACAAGTGGCATTAGATACAATATTAACTTTTACAAGACTAAATAAAGAAATTTATTTTTTTTTAAACTTTACGACTAGGCGCTGGCGCGATAAAAAGACAAAACTGTTAAATATGGTTTAATATATATCTTAAAGATAAAAGAGCTAATTAAAGAAGTAGAAAACAGTTGCTTATTTTATATAAACCGCCATTCGTAAGTGGTTAGTATTAATGATATTATATAATTTAAAGATAAATATTGTTTAACATAAAAAATCTGATAAAATAAGTATTATATGTTATAATAAAGAAGATTTAAAGTTAAAGAATCTGTTTTCCTTAAAATAAGATATATTATATTTTAAGTATGTGTATTATTTTTTAAGAATTAATAATACTTTTTAGATAATAATTTATAAATATAGATTATTTTATTTATATATTATTATTTAAACACTAAAGATATTATTGTTATTTTTTACTTAACTTTATTTTAATTTTTATTTGGTTTAGTTTGACTTGATTATTATTTATCGCCCCATCTTTATCTTAGGCGTTAAGGCGTTCCGGCTACGAGGAAGAGAAAGAGATAATTCTATTTAACTATTTTTACACTTTTTACTACTAACCTTTTTATTTTCTATTTGACACTCTTTTCCCTATATTATATTTTACGTTTTATTTTAAGCAATAAGGAAAGTTAATATAAGTTGAATGTTTTTTTTTATAAAAAAAGAGCTAAATTTTTCTGTTTTTAGAAAAAAATAGTATAGTAATAAAAAAAATTAAAAGAGTCTATAAAAAAAATTAATATAAACAATAGATTACTTCTATAATATAATATTATATAAATATACTATTTAAAAAAATCTTATATTAAAAATAATATTATTAAAATGTTTAATAAAAAAAACATTTTTTATTTTACGGCGTCATAGCAGAGTGGTTAATGCGGGGTACTGTTAATACTTTTTTCAGAGGTTCAATTCCTCTTGGTGCCTATTTCTTTTGTTATTTTTAAATTTAGATACTTTTCTAGTAGTATAGTGAGTAGATTTTATAGATTTAGTCATAAGTATTCAATGAATTCACCTCTATTCATTACTATCATCAAAAAAACCATTGATCAATATTAATCAAAATTTCCTCTAAAACCCCTTTTTTCAGATAAATCTCATATTTTACAAAATTTGGGTAGATTTCTAAAAAGAATGGGGGCGAAAAATATAAATTAAGTTTTTATGAGTTTTAAATATAAAATAGATATATTAACCATAAAATAATATAATATCATATCATTAGTAGATAAAACAATAAGTTTCTATTCATGATTTCATATAATGTTATTTTATATTCTACATAATCTTTACTATCTAATATAAATACCATATAATGTACCGTAAGACTTGGTAACATAAAAAGTATAAATGATAATAATAGATCTATATAATTTATTTGAATTAAATAAGTAATAAAATATAATAATATAAAATTAAATATAAAAAATCATATTAATTTATAATGATTTATAATATAATTAATATGTATTTTTCTAAAGAATAAGAAATTTAAAAAGAAGATAGGTTCCCATCCATCCTCAGTTTCATAAAGATTATAATAAGGATCATTATTAAAAAATAAACCATAAGAAGTATGGATTATAACAAATCCACTAACCATTAAAAAAGATGCAATAACAATAGCATCAATTCAATCTCTTATATTTTCCATGAAATAGACAGGAGGAAAGTCATCAATATCTTCATTATCATTATTATCTTCATTATCTTCAATATCTTCAATATCAGCATCCTTAGGCGCTGAATTATCTTTATTTTCTTTATTTTTTTTAGAAAAAGGAAAATCATAATATCCCTTTAGTATTCCTATAAGTGTAACAATAACAGGAAATAAAAGTTTTAAAAAAAGTAACATATTCATATTTTGTAATTTTGGCGTTTATAGTCAATATCGCCGGACTATTTAATAATATAAAAGTTTTTAAGATCTAGAAGTATAAAAAATATCTAGTAAAATTGTCTAATTTTTTTTAATCCATTCTTTAATAGTATCTTCTAATTTTTCTATTTGAAGTATTTTAGATTCTATTCTATCCCAATAAGCATAAATTTTTTCATTATCATCTATTAAAGCATAATATTCTCCTCTAAAATATACAGGTGTATTTTGGGGATAAAACCATTGATGTTTTGATACTAAAACATCAAATCCATATTTAGCTTTAACTTTATCTACATATCTTTTAAGATCATATGGTAACATATTGTCTAAAATAAACTCTCCACCATCTCTTAATATATGTTTACCTGTAGAAGTTCTAACAATAGGATTTAAATCTTCTTTAGTTTCCTCAGGAATAGTTTCTAGAGTAAACTTAGGAATAATAGGTAGAGATGTAACTTTTTCTATTTTGGGGGCAGGTCTAAATAATTCTAATAAATCAAATTTGAATTCACTATCTTCACTTGGTTTAAGATTAGGTGTATATTCAACTCCAGGATTAGAAGTAGATCCAGAATTATCACGAGAAAGAGGTAATGCAACACTCTCTGGTTTTATAGTAGGATTAGAAGCAGAATTAATATTTAAAGATTGAAGATTTTTAAGTCTTTTTTCTCTTAAATCTGCTAGTGCTTCTCTCTTTTTAAGATCTATATCTTTTTCAGTGATGATTTCATTTCTTTGATCTAGATATTTTGATTTATGATCTAATATATCAACTTTCTTATCTATTTTCACGTCTAGGATTTTATTTCTTTCTTCAACTTTTTCCATTCTACTTTCTATCATACTATTTCTATCTTTTTCTGTAAGAGCTATAGATGGGTCAGTCCAAGGGTTTTCAAGATTATCCCCTATAACTGCATCTGTAGAGGATGTAGATAATGGAGAACTAGGTTGATCTGTAATGGTTCCATATTTTAAAGCTTCTGCTGACATTGGAAGTTGATTATCTTGACTTCAATTAGATGATATTTGATCTAATACTTTGCTAGTCATTTGAGGTTGCATATTTTTAGAAATCTCTGCAGCAATAGCTTGATCAGAAGAAAAAGATGAACCTTGTTCTATCACGGATTCAAGTATATTAGTTTTTGTATCACCTTCATAAGATCTAGTAGCACTACTAAATCCTATGGTATTAGAAGGTTTAATAGAATCTAAATTTTTTAATTCTTCAGTCATTTGAGAGATACTTAAAACAGTTTTAGGTTTGGCTTGTGTATCATCAATTTGTACAGCTTTACCTTTACCTTTAATATCAGAAGATGACTCTGCAGTTTGTGGAGTATCCTTTAGAATAGGTTCAGGCATATTTTTATTAATTATAGCTTTAATTCTTTTCTTAGGATTTGCATCTTCATCAGGTGAACTTTCATCTTCCCATGTTAAATTAGGGAATTTTGGTTCAGGATCAGAATCATCTTTAAAATTAGATTTAGTTTTAGCAATAACATCTAATTTTTCAGTAACAGAAGTAGGAGCTGAAGGATCTAAAATAGGTGCAGAAGCATCTCTAGTAACAACAGATTTAAGACCTACACCTTTCATAATATTATCTAAGAAAGAAGGAGCTTTTTTAGGAGTTATATCTGGATTGTTTTTAGTTTTTAATGCTTCTAATCTTGCTTTTCCTTCAGCAGATATTTCTTTTTTAGGTTTAGAAGGTCCTGCTTCAGGTGTAACTTCTACTGCTTCATGATCTACTAATGTAGCAGGAGTTCTATTATCTCTTAAAGATATATCAGGTGAATCAGGTGACGATGGATGAAGTGTTTTTAATGCATTTCTTCTATCAATTTCTTCTAATAATGGCCAGTCTGTTGGTAGAGTTACTCCTCTATTTCTTCTGTCTATAACAGCAGCTTCTCATCTTTCGTTCATTCTATCTAGTTTTGATTGTTCTCTTTCACTTATTTCACTTCTTTCACGAGTTAATTGTTCATAACTATTTCTTGGAGTATGATGATTAGAAAATAACCAGTCATGTAGAGAATGATATGTAGCAACAAAAGGTGATGCCATCCAACCTTTAATAGTTAATATTCAAGTTCCCCAGTAATTTAAAATAAATTTTGTAAAATCTGCAATGTGATGGATCCCAGGTAAATCAGGTTTCATCCAATCAAATAATAAAATAAAAATAATAATACCAACAAATCCAAAGTAATAATATTTTCAATCTTCTCATAATGTTGAAATATAATTCTTAGTTTTAGCAAAGAAACCTTGAGGTTTTGGTTTTAGTTCAGTAGGTAAAATATCGAAAGGTAAAGCACCTAAAATCATAATACTAGAATTTCTTAACCATTTAATAGTTTTAAGTGATGGAGTATAAATAACTCCAATAGCAGCAGTAATAAGATAAATACACCATCTAATTACAGCAAATAAAAAAGGTTTGAAAAACATAAAACTAATAAAAGTACCAATCATAACATTAACAACTTTTTTAAATGGTATATTATATCTTAAAATTCTAGATCAATTAGGATCAATAATTCTGTGAATAGTTTCAGCAGATATTGGATTAGTTCCTCTAAATAAGATATCTTTCATTACCGCAGGAACGGCAGAAAGGTGAACAGCTTGTCTCAATCTATTGCTGCGCAGCCAGCTAGCGCCTATAATAAGATTAAACAATTTTTTAATCCAATATTTTGATATAAGGTAAAAAATGCAGAGATAAGTGTGGTAATAATAGAAATCATAGATGCGGGTAATAATCTTCTAGCAATAGTTGTAATAATTATTCTAGATAAATAAAAGATCGGGTTTTGTAAACGTAACATTTTTAATAATAATAATTTGTAATAGATTCTAACAATCAAGACAAGTAGCAGAACTACCTTCTATGAGATCAAGGTTATTTAATTTACACTAAATAATATCTTTACAAAATATAAAGACGGGAAATCTAAATAGTAACATTATCTTAATAAGAATCGAACTTATTTATAAAAGAATATAATATCTTTTATATAACCATTAAGATATTGGGGTTATAAATAATAAAACAATTAAGAAATTTTATTAGAACCTTCATCTATAAATAAAGGATTAGTATTAATCGCAATATTATTATCATCGAAAATTAATTTTCTTTTGTTTTGAGTCGCAATAAGATTATAAACTTGTGATTTAATAGTGATGTTTGATAAATTTAAAGATCTAAACCATTTATTATGATATAAATTTAAGAATTGATTTCTTTTTAGTAAAGATTTCATATCATCAAATGAAATATTTGATGAATCTTTATAACCTTTAATTTTAACCCCATCTATAGATGATATATATTTATCATCCATAGTAATACCAGCATAAATTTTAGGACCTAAGAAAACAGCATTTTTTAAAACATATTCTAATTTAAATTGACCTAGTTCTGATCCAATAAATTCATCTGATAAAGGTTTATCGATAAATATAGAATCAGTATCAGTATAATATAAATTAAAATCAGGATTCTTTTATCGCGCCAGCGCCTAATGACTCATGAATACTCTAGCGTATGCCGTAACAGCACTAGATATACCAATAGATACTTTATTTTCTTTAATTAATTTTTTATTATCAATATAAGAAACAAATAATCCTGCATCATCTAAATTAATAAAGTCTGAAATTTCATATTTTTCAGATAATTCTTTAAAACCTAGAATAGATGTAAATACATGATTTTCTAGAATAGGTTTCATGGCAAATCTACCATAAAGTGAATTCATTAACAATTTGGCAACCATGTTCATTGGATCTCCTTTTGGATATTTTAATCTTAAAGAATACATATCAACTATAAATTCATAAAAAATATTCTCTTTTTTAAAGAAAAAACCGTTCATATTATTTAAATTGTTGAAATTATAGTCTTTAATTGAGTTGAAATATTCAGGAGAGTTAATTTTCATTTCCCAATTTCCATTAGGCGCAATTGTTCTAATTCCACTCTCAATTTTATGGTGAACTTGTAAATAGG